TGTACGCTTTCACTCTTGCTATGAGATGTATCTATCCCATTGATAAAAATATCTTGTGAGAACCAGAAAGCAAAAATGCATTTATTTATGAACAAGTATCGAATAAGTGATCAATCTCACTTAATCGCCCGTAATAAATGTAACATTCTAGAACGTTTTCAATTATAATGAGTGCTGAAGTGAACTCAAAGTCGAGCTTCTGTCAATAGCCTCCTTTAGTGCGTTTTCACTGATTAGCTCTTCGAAATCAAAATTGATGCAAATCACTATCGTTGTTAAGTTAGTCACCCATCCTCTTTACAGGTGCGTTTCATAAGTGTGACAAGTAAGCGTATCAGGTCCATTAACTATATGTTTGCCGCTAATTAGACTAGACATTGACAAAAGCTTGGCTCGATTAGTAAAGCGCTTTAAGAACTCTCAAGGAACATTCCAGAAAGGAGATTGGTTGCGACACGATAAGGCCTTAGTCTCATCCGACATGATTGAGCGTCTGCTTTACAGCACTTTGTACGAGATCACCGGTGAAATACTCGTCCAACTTGAAGTACGTCACCACTCGAAGATAACGCTCGTGAAATGTTAGTCTGAAAACAAAAGGAGAAACTTGAGTAGCTCCCAAGAATATTTGACAAATCCTTACCGTGGGCTTTTCAATAGGACTCCCTGCATGGATGGCATCGCGATACCGATTTGCAGTATTTCGGTTAGTAATTTCTCAAGGAATTCAGCTCCGAACAGTCCGAGATCTCCAAATGATGCTTGGTCTACGTCATTGACCTGGAGCAATGTACAGTTACTGTAGCATAATTACTAGAAATTTGACCCAATCTCCTTTGTGCGCGAGAGGTACCCCTGAAGATCCCGCTCCCGTAATATACCCCCTCCCCTTTATTACGGTATGGTGCTAAGCTTTATTACGCCATAGTGCTAAGCTTTCCTAGAGCTCCAATCCTTCGCAGTTGGCTTCTCGATGGAAGCTAAAGTGATAATCCTACTATATATAATCCGCTAAGCTTGTGTGTGTGTGTGTGTGTGTGCTGTGATGTTGTAGTGTGGGTGCTTGACCGAGAATCTCTTACTTCCTTGATTTCATCGCAAGGAGCTCAAAGTTATGAATATGTATTAGGTGGAACAGGAACACTAGTTGTGTGGGTGGCAGGAAGTGATAACAACTGATAAGATACCATAAAAGACGTCAGAAGGGTTAGGTCACCAACATCATATCTTGGACCACATCAACGATGGGACATTTTTCCCCATGGTAATAGATTAGGTGGTACAGTGGTTGGAGGGAAAGTCTGTCACTGTTGTGACTTTTTCCCTTTTTTATTTTCTAACTCAATATACAGTGGGAATTAGTCAACAATATACTCGTCATAGTTAGCCACTACAGTGCTCCACCCAATGGACAGGTAAGCATTCCCCTCCTCCCAGAACTGAGAAGGCTGCGAGTAGAGTAAGTCAGCGCCCCCTCGACTGATGTCATCAAAGTTGCTGAAAGTTTTCGCAGCTAAGAAAGCCTTAAGGAGGAGGAGCAGGCAGCAGTCGTAGGGGACTACGTCAGAAGAATATTATGAGCGGGGACTGGTCTTCCAGCTTTGCTCCTCAATTATTTGGTAGGTCTTCATAGCAGGTATGGGGTCTCGTGTACTACGAACGAGGTGACCCGAAGCTAGTCTCGGTCATTTTTCTCCAACAATTTTCACTCGTTTCGGGAGCTGAGCGACACAAATGGTGGCGGTGACCGTCTGTTCTTATGGGGCAGCTCGTTCAGCAGCACCTCCTCGCGTCCCAGGAGCAGCACAGGAGAACCTTTTCGGAATACATGCCCGGTTTGGACTGCTAGAATGGATCTTCTCCTTGAGAGAGACAAACGGTACTGTGTGGGTTGAAATCATAGAGGACCCATCTCTCATCCCCACTAAGCAGTCTCCCGGAAACTCCTTCTGACGAGGGCAGAGAAGGGGAGACTAAGCAAGGGGTACCCGGGTGCACAGCGTGCCATCGGTCAAGGTATGAATGATCCATCAAGCCAGTACTTCTTGGTAGTCAAAGGCTTACAGGCGGTGGACGACTGTCAGTTAGGTACATCCGAGTCTTGTCGCAAGACTGCGGGTGGTAGGCTCTGGATCCCCCTTGTCTGCTTCGAGAATGGTGGAGTCTTATACTTCTTGGGGCCGTCCCAACCAAGGTTTGCCTTCGAGGATCGAGTCTCTTTTCGCGAAGCGAGCGAACTAAAAGTGAACGATCCTGACGGTAGTGGTGTCCTCCCTCAATGCACTGTTGATGTTACGGACAGCTGCCGTGGCTCCAGTGCCGCGGGGCCACTGATAGAAGATGATGACCCGAAGATACTCCTGTGAAACTGACATCGACCCAGGGAAGAGCAGGCGCCCTCACACGCCTCTTGCAGGAAAGCTCCCAGAGTGTCCTACAAGCATAGCATGTTACGTCATGTACGAGCATCGAGAATCAAAAACTGTAAGCTTTTCAAAAAACACTGACAGGACTTTCCTTCCAACCTATATAAACACCAGTTTGGCTGACGCGCACTACTGCGCGAATGGTTCAGTCTGTGGTACTGATCTATGAAAGGATTTCTGTGTTGACCCCTAACACTTGGCCTAATTCCTATGTTTCACAATTCGGCCCATTTCATGATTTCCATATTTCTCCTCTTTAATGAGCGATTGCCAATGTGTTTATCAGATTTCTATAAACACTCATCATTCGTTGGCGATAGAACGGCTTAGCGGTTGAAAGGTAACAATATCGAAATCATAGTGAAATGTGCTTACATCATAACACTTCCGTTGAGCAGTTTTCACATATCCGCCTGTTGGTGGCCCTTATCATTCCCCACTGGCGAACAACTTTGAGCTTTTACTTTTTGTCGAAACTCGGAAGTTTAGCGGTCTACTATAACGCTAAAGGATAGAAACACTGAGCTTTTGCCCATTGATTCCAAGGGCCACGGTGATCAACATCAGTCGCAAGCGGAGTAAAGGTGGAACGGATACTGACCCTTGCCGTACACTATAT